ATGTTTGCGCTTCAGGTGTTCGTTCATTGCGGTAGTGCTACTATGGTAGGCTAACTCCATTTTGCAGAGTGAACAACCAACCAAGCCCTTTTCTTTCGGCTTAAAATACTTCCACACTTCGACGTCTTTGGACATTTCCTTGGCTGAACTCTGTCATCGGGGTCTTCTTCACGTGTACTGCTCGGACCGGATGTCGCCATTTTCTTTGCCTTCTCCTCTTTCGACGTATTCACGTAAAACAACGTGTTGACGGTATGTTGTGTGTCGACGTATTTATGCAGCCGACGTAACCGGTGACGTCGACTAGTCGGGACGGCACTAACACACATATTAAGTAGAAGCATAGTATAAGATATGACTGTGTCTCATATTCAATCAGTCACAAAATTTCCTACAATGTTATTCTGCCTAGGGATGGGCAACRTCCTTTAGTGTGTGATTAATTGTTTCACCGGTTAACACTTAATACGATTAATGCGATCGGCTCGGTGCTCCTCTTCTCTTTCCTTTTTTAAACCAAATAATGTCTTTTTCTCCGTCAAAGTCCTCTGTCTTTGAGCTTCCATCCTCTCTTTGCAAAGGTTCTGACTGCGTCTTGGTTTAACACTAAACGTACTAAACTACACCCTAACTGTAAAATCCAAACATGCTGAGTATCATAAATCTCTCAAATCTCATACCTCATTCCCGCTCTCATCGTCTCTCCATCCACACCAAACTTCATTCAACTTTTGTGCCGTTTTATTTTCTTCTTCCTGTAGATTTTTTGCTGCTTGTTAAATAATTTCAGGCCTTATTCAGAAAGGAGACCGGCAGTGATTATATGATAATGTAAAAATTTGTTACACTAGCCCTAAAACACTAACTCAAATATTTAAGTCCCCTAATTCTAAAGCACTAATGTCCTTAAAATTTTAGCAAAAGCTAATTCTAAAGCACTAAAATAACCCAGTCAACCCCTGAACATTCTTCAACAGACAACATGAGTCACATATTGACATGTTGCTCTATTAAGACTTATCACTGATATTCCACAGCTGTATTTGGGTTCATATATTGTCACCTGGTGGATAAATTACACACATATGAACAAACTGTGTGACAGTTTTCACCCTCAGTTGTTAACATTAATGCTGATCAATAACATTTATAGACCTCGGTTAGTGAAATTTAGTCTATAAATTTAGCAAGTGCTAATCCACAAACAAATTTTAAAATTAGCAAAAGCTCTAAAGCATTTATCAGGAAATTAGTTCTCCTATCAGTGCTTTAGTGCTTTAGGGGAACTGTGCCCACCACGGGAGACCTGGGATTTTATAATGGTTCGGCGGGGGTGGGGGTGAGACAAGAGGATAGACTGAAGCAGCGTTTGTGGGGTTTTTTCCGTGAATCTGGCCGTTGATGTGCTTTAAAAATGACCAACATTTATAAAAAAAGAAAGAAGTGCCAAAACATACAGTATTTAATTATAACTCCGGTTTTATGTGGCCTATCAACACAATATAAAAAAACTGATGTTTAGCTTGAAGTTTACACTTTTGACACAAGTTGAAACAGGTTCTTAAAGAGGGCTTATCTTTCCCAATAGAATGATTTAAATCAATCATGTGACTAGGACGTGCTGGGTTTTATAAGGCCACAATACACCTTTATTTGTTCCAGTCTTATTTTATTAAAAACACTGAACAATACTCTTGAAACAATACAAACTTGTTTTAACTGGACATTGGAGCAAAGGTGGACAGTGGCTGATTTTCAGACCTTTGTGGAGATTGATGAGAAGCCAATCTTATCAAATTATCAGCCGATCTTCGATCTACCAAATTTAAGGAAATCGTTATCAGCTAAACGCCACAACTGATCGTGATTATTTTCCTTGCCAATATCACTCAACCCTAATGCTGACGAAAATAAGACTAAAGGTTTGCTAAGTGGTCCGTCACCAAAGAATGACCAGTTTCTGTCATGAGTCGGTCAGTTTGTTTGTATCCTGTGTTTTCCTGTCTCAGATCGTGGACATGGAGATGGACAAAGCTCTGATCTTTGAGGACGATGTCCGCTTCCAGGCCGACTTCAAGCGACGAGCGCTCAGGTTGATGGAGGAGGTGGAGCTGGAGGAGCTGGACTGGGACCTGATGTGAGCTGATTCTCATTCTCGTGGGTTTGGTTCTGATCGGGCGGCTGTAGAAGGCCGGGACAGGAGAGTTGAGTTAATGAAATATATAAATTTATGTGAGATGAATGCAGCAAATATCACTAACAGATTATTCTTTTAAAGAAGTTTTCAGGCTGTAAAGTCTTTTCTGTGTGACTTCTATCTTGTCGGATTTTTATTTGTGTCTCCTAAAGAAAAACACACACACAAAAAGAAAACACATGATTTGAATTTAGATCATTCCAACAAAGTTAGATCAAACTTTCAYAACTGGCCCTACAGATGTAAAACACATGCTGAAAACAAGGTTCGGGCTACAAATACGAGCAGATGTTTGGAAACACGCCTGCGGTTCTGATCCTGGCTGTGTTGCCTCAGATACTTTGGCAGGAAGCAGGTGAACCCTGGGAACGAGGAGCCTGTGGAGAACGTTCGGAACCTGGTGAAGGCCGACTACTCGTACTGGACTCTGTCCTACGCCATCTCCCAGCAAGGAGCCCAGAAACTGCTGAACGCCGAGCCGCTGTCCAAGATGCTGCCCGTCGATGAATTCTTCCCCATCATGTACGACAAACATCCCAAGTATGTACTTTAGCACTCATTTAACTCCTTTCTCCATGAGTACTGTGGTATTATCACACATCTGGTTTCTATTTAAWTTGCATTTGTTTGCAGAAGTATAATCTTTTTGTGTTTAAGCCCTATAAACAGATCTGTTAACTGCTGAAATCTTTCTTTATTACAGTTTCCTAAACTCGAGCACTTCTATATTTAGTTTAGTCAGAGTGGACTCTGTAGATTCAAGAGAAAAAAACTGTGGTTTTAACAAAAATAAGCCTCCTTTAAGATGTTTGGATTTTTGAGCAAAGTTGTATATTTCACAAAAATAACTTTGTGGTTCTGAAATATTTTCGTTTTTATGGTGAACAGGCTTCTTTTTAGTGTCTCACTGTTGGACCAGTTTGACAGTATTTAGAGTTCTGATGAAGTAAAATCATGAAGCAATAATAGGACTTTTTTAGAGACACTGGGGTTTAAAATAATCTTTTGGATGTAGAAGTATCAACCCAAGCTTTTTACTCAAGTAAAAATGTAAAAGTGCTGGTTTTAAAACTACTTAAAGTAAAAAAAGAAAATAATGTAAGAAAAAAAACATTAAGGACAAAAGCTTAGGCCATATGGGTCTATAGTTCACAACCCCACCTCCCCAAAAACATTTCTCTAAAGACTCATTATAAATCATAATAAAATGTTAATGTTGAAAAATTTTGGATGCATTAGTCTCCTGGTTTCAGCCACATAGCGATGTTTACTGTATTGCCAAAAGTATTTGCACACCTATACAAATGACTGTGCACCAGTGCACAAAGCAAGGCCCATAAAGACGTGGATGGCAGAGTCTGGTGTGGATGAAATTGACTGGCCTGCACAGAGTCCTGACCTCAACCTGATAGAACACCTAGAGTGGAGACTGAGAGCCAGGCCTTCTGTCCAACAGGGACCTCACAAATATGCTTCTGGAAGAATGGTCAGAAATCCCCATAAACACTCTTAAACCTTGTGGACAGTCTTCCCAGCAGAGCTGAAGCTGTTCTAGCTGCAAAGGATGGACCAACATCATATTGAACTCTATGGATTAGAAATGATGTCACTTAAGCTTATATGTGAGTCAAGGCAGGTGAGCCAATACTTTTGGCAATAAGGATATCATCCAGAGGTGATTGCTCTAAGACTGAAAAAGGAAGCTCAGCTTCCCCTAAAATAAAAAAAAAAGATCAAATATATACTGCTGTGTGTACATGTCATTGACTAAATATGCGCTACAACGCGCTCAACTTTTGTTCAGAATCAGCTTCTTATCACTGGTAACGACGCAGCTTTCCTCTGCCTCATTCCCGCAGCTTCACAGTGCTTTAAACAGTGGACGCTGAGCTTCCAATGAGTTCAACAGTGAAGCAAAGATGCAGCGAAACGAGACGAGTCATTGGATAAATGCTGGGCTTGTCCCGCCCGTCGGACACTGAGCGTCTCGGGGGCTCTATGAGGCAGGGGGCTGGCTTCAGCTGGCCCGGACGCTCAGCTTCTACATGATGATTGGATCATCTGTCTGAGGCTGAATCCCTTTTTGATTGACAGCGAAATGAGCAAATCAGCGATATTTTGGTGTAAACATCTGTGGGAGCAGTTTTTAGTTTCGTTTCTGTTCTGAGTTGAACCAGAGATTTTTTTTGAATGAGAACAATTAAGAAAGAAATAGAAATGCAATATTCCTTACATTTTTAAAAGTTAAGGAGTTGAAAGCACAGATAACTGCATGAAAAAGTTGAGTAGATTTAAAAATTTGGCTGAAAAATTATTACACCAGTAAAGTATAGATATCCCAAAGTTCTACTTAAGTATAAAGTAACAAAGTATTTGTACTTTCTTACTTGACACCTCTGCTTTTTTTTGTATCAAAACAGGCAAAGGTTAAATTTGGACATTTGTGAGCGTTTTTGCAGTCAGTCAGACCCATAGCACAGCACAGAGCTGTAACATGACTGTGTCTGTTTTCTCCCTTCAATCAGTGCCAGATGTTTATGTAAACTATAAAAGCCTGTGATGTGCACGAGTTTTGACGACTTTATACAATCTTTTTTTTTCATCACACGTCTGAGGAAGACCACGAAATCATTTTGAATCCAGACTTCACTTCAGATCGAATCAGAAAATATTTCTCATCGTCTGTAAATCCAAATAAAGGAAGGATCTGCAAAACAGATCGTTTGGCAGTTTTCTCCATCGTGTGTGGAAAAGTGGCTCAGAGCCGACCCACGTGCTCTGTTCTCGGTTCTCTCTGTGGTTCTGATTTGATACGCTTTACTGACCTGCTCAGAGTCTCTGAACCGTCTTTAAAAACCAACCAGCTGTTGTCAAAAAAAACAACATTTTAGATAAATCCCAACGTGTCACTGATGCTTATTAACATTCTAATAAATATCAGCAGCACAGTGGTGAGCTCAGAGTTGTAATTCGTGTCTTTTGCTCTCTTTCTCTGTCTTCCAGCGAGGACTACAAGTCCCATTTCCCCAACAGAAACCTCCAAGCCTTCAGCGCGCGCCCCCTGCTGGTGCAGCCGTGTCACTACGCCGGCGACGCTCAGTGGGTGAGCGACACGGAGACGTCCACTCTGTGGGACGACGACTCGGTAAGGACCGACTGGAGGGGCTCCCACAAGACCCTGAAAGGCTCCGTGCCCGAGATGCTGTCGGCAGCGTACAGGGACGAGCTTTAGCTGGAGGAYCGCTGAGGCCCGCGGGGTCAAAAAGGTCGTTGGGTCAAAGGGACGGACAGAGCCTGATGAACTGATCTTAGAATTTTTCAGTGTTTTTCTAGGTGTTTTGTACAAGATGTGGGATTTATTTTGGTAGCAGAACAATTTAAGGGACAGTTATTTATTGAGGCTGTTTGTAAAAAAAATAAAACTATTTTACAAATGTTTTAGCATTTAAAATGCATAAACTTGCACATTTTTCAATACAATGGTTAAATATTTGTTTCTTTTTTAGCTTTATTAAGTAAACAGATTCCTGTAGCTGCTTTGTTCACAGCTCCTGGAAAAGTCTGAACTAAAATCTGATATTCTGTTTTACATTTTCATTTCCATGTTGGGTTTATCTGTCTGATTTAGTTTTTTATGTTTTCAACTAAGGATGCTGAGAGATACAGCTGTATTTAAACCAAAACTGTTATTTTTGTTTTTAAATGTAGGATTTAATATGGAACCAAATCACAAGTTCAAAATTAATTTTCATCAAATATTGTGCTGTTTAACATTAAGATTTCAAAATGTTCAAATATTTCAATTAAATATAACCTATGAGATTTATCCCATGTAATTAAATAAAAACTACATTTTGTTTTCAAAATGTGGTTTAACTTTTATTATATTAAGATGAACCAAAGATTGCCAAAGTTGTCAGTATTTATTCTTGTTAAAATGCTGCGTAATGATATCAAAACTATGTAAAAACATTTATTTTCATGTTTTTGTTGCGTCTCTGGGATCCACAGTTGATGTAGACCTGATCCCTTTAACAGGTTTTAGTTTGAACAATCAAAATGGACTCGAGTACCATGCTTATTTTGAACATGTGATGTTTATATTTCTTGTCCTTTTTGCATGTGCTTTAATTTATTGAGTCTTCAATGATGAAACTTTTCTGGTGAATCATGAATAAATWACATTCCATCAAGTTACAATGACTTTTTGTGCTGCTTTTTTTTAAATCAGAAATTGATARAAAACACACACACTGTGTTTCACAGCTGGAGACTTAAAGTGTTGAAACACACCCTAATCAAATCAAAGCTGCATGCACATCGGCTTCATTTATCTCCAGCAACTCCTGTCACTGAACGAATGAGCTGAAAACAGGTTTTTCCCCTTTCAAGCTTTCAGTGGTGTTTGCTCAAGCGTGGGTCACAAGCTCGCACACAAACGTCTGAGTAGAAGCCRTGCTGTGCTTTAAAAACAGTTTCTGCAAAGATTAAAGGTTACTGAAGTCGACTGTCTTAGATATAAACGGAGCAGGACGAGCTCCCAAACTCAGGATAAAGTTACAGACAGCAGCTCCTGTCTTGTCCAAAGCTGTACGAACCAGACAGRACCTCCTCTCACAGGAGGGAACCTGAACCCAGAGCCTTATTGGCTGCTGGTCAGGAGGTGTGTGTGGACTCATGAGGTCAGAGCAGCAGAGAACAAGRTTTCATCATGTGCAGTTACTCATGCATGCTTGCATTTCTCCTGTTTAGCTTTGCACATCACACAAACTACAGAGTATAACGACGGTCCACTTCTACTCGGTTTGATTTACGAGCTTTCAGGGATTTTCACCAGCAGCTGCTGCTCTGAAAAATACCCACATCAACATTTAATGAATCTCTCAGAAAAGAAAAAAAACACAGCTGAAGTACGATACCTCTWTGTGAATAACTAAATAAACAGAAGTTTTACAGGTTTATTTAGCAGCATTTTGCAGGCAAAACAAATAAAATGTCACGCCATGAAAAAAAGCACCCAAAATACTGACATTTTTATTCATTTATGATTATTTTGAGCAGCTGAAAGTGATACATTTTTTCATGAAATTTAAAATCAGCTTGTAACTGGAAGTTATTTTATGTGATTTGATTGCAATTTTCCGATGCAATAAGAAAGTGCCGGTGTATGTATAGTTACACAGGCCTGTCTGCAGCAGACTGATCTCATCTGATCTGGTAATTTCAATAAAGCAGACAAGTAATATGTGACCGAGCTGGCTCAATGTGCCGGCTCATTTGTTGTGCGAAAATAAAGAACTAGTTTCTGTTTGAGATACAAGTTGAGGGACAGTAAATACAGAACTTTACGTCTCAGCTTTTACTTCACCCCAACAGACTGGAGCAACGCCATCCTTACGATGGATGGACCCTGATTGGTTGATTCATACCATCAGTACAAAACAAAAGTCCATGCTGGCCCAGCGTCTTTAAGGAGAGCTCTAAAAATCATGTACTATGTGAGCTGAGTGACAAGCACGAGAAAGGTCCTAAACAAAATTTTAAATAATTCAACTTTTCTGCACTAGAGACCCCAAGTGCACAAGTAAATGCATTCACAAATATCTCTTATAAAGGTTTAACAACCACTCTTGATATCAGGGTGAGTCAAGTTTCACACAGGACTCTGAAAATGTCTTTAGATCAATTTCAGTTCCAAAATTTAGATTTTTGTGTCACACATCCTGGTCCTTGAGAAAGCCAGCCAGAGTAATCAAACACAGATCCACAGATTTACATTTCACTTCGGTGAAGCTTGCTGCTGACTGATCCACGACGGGATGTAAATGTAACATTTTCCATAAGTAAAATTAATCACTGCAATAAAATAATCGTCTGTTTTTGTCACTTTTACGGTGGATTGCACCAACTCTGTTACATTACAGAAGGAAAACTTCACCAAAAGTGAAACGTAAATCTGTCGACCTGTTTGATTACTCTGGCTGGCTTTCTCAAGGACCAGGATGTGACACAAAAATTTGAATTTTGGAGCTGAAAGTGAAAGTAGTCAAACTGATTTTTTAATAAACCACAATACAGTTTCAAAGCAGATTAATTCAAATTCAAAACTTTAAATTCAGTTTCAAATTATTAAAGTCTGCTTCAATTTAGTGAAATTCATTTTCAAACCAATGCAATTCAGTTCCTGCTGGCACAAGATTTATCCCATATTTATCTCATTTTGACAAATGCATGTTTTGAAAAGGGGAACAAATGTATAGCAAAGTAATATATCAATGAAACGTGTGTGTGTGTGTGTGTGTGTAAACATATGCGTGTGAGTGAATGTGTATGTATAAATGTATATTTGCATATATTTTTTGTGTTATATGTTTTAGTAGGTGAAATGAATATTGTTTCAATATATTGTTGATATTATGATTTAGAATAAGGAAACAGAAAAAAGTATTAATATTAGCAAGCTTTGGAGAAGAGTGGGATTAAATAGGTTTTTACATCTTCCCATTCCATTTCAAATGTTAATTTTGTTATTTTTTCGTTTGTTTTGTTTTCCAAAGTAAAAGGTGTAGCAGGATGTTGGGGAAAAACTGCATGAATTAAGTTGTTCTTTTTGGTGAATCGAGCCAAATGAGTCGGATCTCAAAAAAGAATCTGAATTCCCACAGCAGGGCTGGGGGAGGGGCTACAGCTGCAGTTCAGCTGGACCTTCTGGGCCCCGGCCGGTAGCAGCTCGTTTCGGTGGGATTCTTCAGGATCCCTCAGCCACGCTCCACCGGCAGCTTTTATTTGTCTCCTTTTCACATTCGGCATCGAGGAGTGTTTGCGGGCTGAGTTTCTTCATCGAGTGTAAGTTTGGAGCACGTGGAAACCAAACTGATCTCATGTTGTTGCTGCTGCTGTTCTGTGCCACGTTTCTGCTTTGAACAAGTATTTGTTTTTTTAAGTTCTAAACCTTGCACCTGCAAACTTCGCGTGTTTTTGTGCARTAACCTGCGCAAAGGACGCAGTCGGTTAATCATTTCACAAGTTGCATTCAAATGATCCCACAGATTTCCACATCCTTCAGGCACAACTTGTCTGTTTGTTGTTGTTTTTTTGGGTTCCCACTGGCTCTGCCAGGTCCTGGTCCAAATCTGGTTTACCTGGCTTTATTATTGAAAGTCCTTCAAACTTATTTAACTTGAAGAAGTTCAAATGTGACACAGTTAAACTGTATTTTCTGTCATTTCTTCTCAGAATGTCTCTGGTTTGTTTTGATATTTTTGTAACTAAAATATATTGATTTGACAAGATCCACCAATATCAGTTGTTTTTGAAACGTGCTGTTTGGATTCCAGTAAGTGGAAAAATAAAATAATATAATATAATATAATATAATATAATATAATATAATATAATATAATATAATACCAACTAACTAAATAACTAACTAACTAACTAAAAATTTGAATAACTTTTTTGAGCTGCAGCAACAAAAAACATGATTTTGAACCAAATTGCCTTAGTTTTTTTTAATTATTTTTACAATTTCCCTGCGAGTTCCAGGCGAGAAATCTCAATATCCAAATACTATTTGAGGTTTGCTCACAATCATGACATCAACAATTCCAGATTAGAATAACTAATAGGATTCAGACCAAATATCAACAAGTTATCCTGATGTATAAGACCAATCWGGGCATATCTCTGGAACAGCTTATGATGTCAGGATGATCAGGTTTCATGATGTATTTAAAAAAAAAACAGGAATATGAAAAAGTGTTTAGATCATTTTAACCTAAACTTGACTTAATCCTCAGTTTGATGTGATGGGTCACATTTGTTTACTACTTACATATATATGTGCATCCACTCTTAGCAATCTGTTCGTATTTATTATTTGTTTATTAAAAAGGATCCCCATTAGTCCTCACTCAAGTGAAGACCACTCTAACTGGGGTCCACACAAAAATAAAAAGAAATTTCAATAAAAATAAAATAAAACTTACCAGATAATATATCTAGAAGATGTACAACAATTGAAAAAAAATTAATCATAATGCATTATTTTGTAATACTAAGATAACTATACACAAAATAAATAGCTGATTCAACACTATAATATGTCCTATTCTGTATTCCTATGTTTTAAGGAATGATCAGAACAGAAGTCAGGTATATTTGCTAGAGCAGTGGTTCCCAAACTTTTTTATCTTCTGACCCACAAAATATTCCTGGCAAAAACTTGTGACCCCAAATATTACTGGTCTTAGTACACAAACTTTG